GAGGGGGCGATCTGGTTTCTTCGCCATTTTATTGCATTTTCTTGTTCTTTTAATTGCTCAGAGAATGGCCTGCTCGTTTTTGTCCGTTTAGAAGTTATTGGTATTGGAAGTTGGGTATTTTTCAACCAAAAAATGTAAATAACTTTTCAAATATTAATGATAGCAATTTGTCTTCTGAAAAGATATGTAATTTGATATTTCTCACATCTTTGTAGAACATGCCAAACATGTAGAAATATTGTAGAAAAAGTTAAAGATACAACATTGATTTTAACGATGTCTTCACAAAGTAACCTTTATTATCTCAGCAGCTATAAGAACTAGAAAATTATAGTCTCCAGCAAAGTTGTTAACAGTTATATTTTCTACAGCTTCGCCCAATACAATGATTTTGTATCTCATCATAAGGAGTGTTGTAACCTGAGAAACTTCTCAGAATACACCTAGTACCTTTAATCATCCATTTCAGCGTAAATAAAAAAGCGCGTGTTTTGATACCCTTGGCACCAGCACTGTGCGTCCGAGGCGGTAATGAGCAGAGGCAGTAGTAGTAAAATTCTTCTTTATTTTGAATTGTTATGTGGTTTACAATTGCTAATACAGGGCAAGAGGTTAGCCAGAAGGGCTTCTCATCTTTGGTGAACTTTTTGATTTTGTGTTGTACATGTTGTGTTTTACTGTGTAATGTTTTTCAATTTTGTTCTTGTGAATAATGTTGTTTGAATGTTTTAATTTGTTATTCTACCTACTTAACCTAACTTAAGGGGGTATTCCCAATCTTTTGCCTTTTTTCGGCCTGTTTTTCAATTATTTTTTTTCAAGGAAAATGAATAGTAATGCGCCTAACTCTTTGGGATTCTTGTTTATTGAACATTAAAGTTTACAAATAAATTTTTTTCGACATAAAAAAAGACATTATTGACGTCACAAAATGGCAACAAACAGACCCCTGTTCGCCGCAAACGCCAGGACGGGCGAAGACTTTTCTCTGGAACGGCTTCATCTGAAACAGATTTCGTGATGAAATTAATAATCTGCATAAGATTCTCTGGAGCTTCTCCCGTTGGCAGCAAAAAATCTAGCAAATTAACAAAATGGCGGCCATATGAAAAAACAGGCGATTTTTAGCCCGCTTTTTTGCAGCTTTAAGGTGCTTCAAACAATGTTAAATGTTAATATTTTTGGCTGAAAGTGGGAGAAGCTCCAAAGAATTTAATAAAGAACAAAATGCGCAAAGATTCAAGTCAATATCTCTTATAGTTTCTGAGAAAAATCTTCGCCCGATAAAAAAAATGTGGTTTCGAGAAAAACGCGTTTAAAGTTTTGACTTTAGTTAAAACCATTTGGGGGTTCTTACCATTAGTCAGCTATGCCTGGACACCGAATTCGCTGATCGGAAAACGGCTTGGGGGGATGAAAGTATATAGTCTAAAGTACAAAAAAACGTGAAAAAAAAATTTGATTTTTTGAAAAAAAAGATCGGGAATACCCCCTTAACCTAACGTGCCAGATCCCTGACAATCTGTTGGTCGGATCGCCTACAGCAATCTCTGAACCTTGCGATGGAGTCAGCTCTCCGTAACTCCAGTGTTTGAAGACCAGCCAGGTGGTGGACCTCAGAATTTCTAGTCCACGGGGGACTGTTAAGGATCATCCTAAGGATCTTGTTTTGGATCCTTTGGCGCAACTCTCCCAGATTGGCATCCCGTATTCTATTACGGGAAGGATGATTTGTTTGTAGACAGCAAGCTTATTTTTCAGGGACAGGGTAAGCCTCCTGTTGATGAGTGGATACAACGATCTTATCAAGATGTTGCACTTCGTTTTGGTTTTGTCAAGGTGCTCACTGAAAAGAAGCTTGCTGTCTAGTGTTAGACCGAGGTACACGACCTCTTTGGACCATTCCACCACTGAGCCGTTTAAGCAGATCTTATTATTCTCAGACGGAACAAGTCTGGGAGATTTTGAGTGTGGAAAGATGATGACCTGGGTCTTTGCCGCGTTGATACGGATCTTCCAGGTGTTGAAATATTCAGATAGGACGTCCAGGCCTCTCTGAAGTTTGGCAGTCAGAGCTCCGATGACTCTACCTACTTGTAGACGATGGATGTGTCATCTGCAAACAGAGACAACGATCCACCATCAGGGAGAGCTAGCATATCGGAGGTGAACAGGTTGAATAGAATGGGGCCAAGGATGCTTCCTTGTGGAACCCCAGCACCAATGTTGAAAGCATCCGATGTGATGCTATTCAGAGAGACTCGGAACGTCCTGTTTGATAGATAGTTGTTTTTTATCTTCACTAGGAAGATTGGAAGACCGTACTGCTGCAATTTGAACACCAGGCCATCATGCCAGACATTGTCAGATGCTTTCGAAACAGACTTGTTCCGTCTGAGAATGTTTATCACTCGAGTCAGCTGTTGGAAGGTCGAACGACCTTTCCGAAAACCAAACTGTTCCTCAAGTAAGATGTTGTTTTGTTCGGTGCCGGTGGTAGACTGCTCTTTCGAACAGTTTTGGCTGATTGCTCGATAACTTGAAGGAGAGGACGGATCCTTCCCAGGTTTCCGAATGGGTACGACTTTAGCTAATTTCCAACACGAGGGGAAGTAGCCAAGTCTGAGGCACTGATTAAAAATCAGTGCCAGATGGTTGTAGAATCTGGAACTCAAGTGTTTGAGTCCCAGATTCAGGATGTTGTCGAAACCTGGGGCCTTTATGTTTTTAGATGATTTGATAAAGGCCAACCGTTCGTCAGCCGTAATTTCGGTTCCTCTGGAAAAATGTTAGGAATCTGATGAAGATTGGTTGCATTTTCAGCAACCTCAGATTCATGAGGGCTGACGATGTTTTGTCCGAGATTATGGGAGCTAACGAAGTGTTGGCCTATCACGGTAGCCTTCTCTTCAGGGGTTATCAGATAAACCACTGGGTTGCCGTAACAATCCAGTGGGGTCAGTGGTGGAATGGGGTTTGGTTTATTTTTAAGAATTTTAGTTAGGGGTCGTCCATTAATTATATCACACATTTAGGGGGAGGGGGGTTTTGAAAACTGTGACGAGCCATACAAAAAAAATTAAGGTCCATAAAAAAAATGTGACAAACCGGGGGAGGGGGGGTTGAAAATGGGCCAAATTTGCGTGACATAATTAATGGACCATCCCTTAGCTTCCAAAAGGGCTTTGCACAATCTAGGATGGTTTTTGTTAGGCGATTACAGTGGGTCTTAGGCAGACCAGAGCGTTGGTACTGCCTTCGGATGGTGTTACGGAGTCTTATAAGGTCTTTGGTAGATCTGTCGACACAGTGTTGGAACTGATCCCAGCTGACACGATGGTAGTTGCGTCGGGAAGCTTGGAATGACGGATGAGCCCACTTCGGCCACCACCGGATAGTGGTCCGAACTCAGTTCCTGGTGGGTCATAGGTTGCGAGATTTTGTCTTCCATGTTGCTGATGAAGATGTCGATGATGGAGTGCACACCGGACTGACTCAGCCGGGTGGGAGTGTCCGGCGCCAGGATAGTGTAGTGAGCCTCTTGCAGGTCGTGTTTTGATTCCGCCTTTGGTTGCCCCAAGCTTGATGTTTGGCGTTCAGGTCACCAGCGATGATGAGTTTTGTACGGCGTCGTGTTATCTTGACAATATCCCTCCGCAGGTCTGCCGCTGATCCATCCCTGGCGTTTGCTTGTTTCGGGCAGTAGGCCGCAATGATGGTGACGGGGATGAGCAGAGGCACGACAGCAGTGCTGTTTTATATCTTTTCAGGTTCAAGCAGAACAATGTGCAACCAAGTGGTACTCGGGTTTGGGGAAAACATTTATTTCATAAAAACAGTGATAAAATTATCATTTGTACATTTTTCAAAAGTTTTTTTTTTTATGGTAAATTGGAAAAGCATTTATTTCAGCAGATTCGTAAAGTAATATCCTACTGATTGGCGTAGGGTAGGTGAGCCAGTAGTGGAGATACTAAGCCAATTTATTAATAAAAAAAATACGATGTATACACAATCGTTATACGTCAATTTATAGCTTTCAACCTCTATTTTGATAGAAAAATATTACTTTGTAATATAATTGCATACAATTTTAGAAAACTCGTCCTCCATTAATAGGAACACTGTTCCAGTAGTTGTGGTAGTTGCTAACTTTGGTTCCTATAATAGTGGAATGTGTTGGTTTCTTATGGGTTCCACTATTAGGAACACTACCGCAACTATAGGTGCAAAGGACTGAAAATCTTAAGGAAAATTAATTATTTTCCGTCACTTTGGGCATATTTTAAGATTGAAATATACAAATATGCTTTTTTTTAGAGCTACCGATGAAAAATAATCATATCCGGGTCCTCCTCACTATTAGCGTTAGCGTTGTTATGATATACTTCGTAGATTGGATACTAGCGACACTCACGTCTCTTCTGAAATTCTCAGTTAGACTACTTTCAGGAATAATGCTGAGGAGTAAACATAGGTTCCAATCTAAACAAGAGTAACAGAAGCATGACTGTCGTTATTCCCGGCCACGCCCATCTTTACCATAACTAGGGATAGGGAAGGAAATGGTGATGTAGTACTTACTTAACGAGAGGCCACCGACTTAGCGACACCCTCATAAGTGCTACGGAGTTGGAGGGTTGTATCCGGGTCCTCCTCACTATTACGGCACAAACTCCATACCGCAACTATAGGTACACCACTATTACTGGAACACCTACCCTATTTGGATTTAAATTTCATCTATAAATGACAAAGTTACAAGCGTTCAAAACCTAACACTATTTCACCTCACATAATTTTTGATTTGCACCCCAGTATAGTCGACAAAGACGTAGTTCTACGTCATAAAAATGCTAATGCTGATTGCAATTTTAGAGGTATAGACACCAAAATTCTCACAAGCGATATCTGGAAAATGATTCCGTAGTACCTATTACTATAATTCAAATCTTTCAAATTTCTCTCCAACAGCTAATGATCGATTTTTTGCGTTCCAG